GGCTTCTGCACTGAAAATTGATGCTTCATTTGGCAAGCGTTTTTTGATAATTGTTTTTTTGTTATTGCTGCGCTGCCTGTTTTTTTTTCTTCGTCTTTTGATCCATCTGTGTAAATACTTTCATAGTTTTGATATTTTTTTTTTTTTGAGAATTTTTCAATGTATGTTGTGGGGTGTGTTTTTGATTTTGATCATTTGTTTAAACTTAATATTATGTTTGGATTTTTGATTATCCATGGTGGTATGTTTGATTGGTTGGTTTTAAGTATTTGATTAGACGGTAAATTATTTTCTTGGATGATTCCTTCCATCCGGAGTCCCAATGTTTTGATTTTATTTGTGTTAAGATTAAATTTCTCTTTGTGATTTGGTGTAATTACACAATCGTGTGTGGGGTTAGAAGGACAGGAAGAGAGTTTTAGATAGTATTGAGTAGCTAGTTTCTCCATTCTTAGTTGTAATGGGGGTTCGTTTGCCTCTACATGTAGACTCTCTATAGGTGAGGTGGGATAGGCTCCTAGAGCTATCCGAAGGCCTTCATGATGTATTGTGTTTATTGTTTTTAGATAAGATTTTCTAGTTGATTGGTAGACCATGCTGCCATAGTCCAGTTTGGAGCGGATCAACGTTCTATAAAGCTTAAGAAGGGTTTCTTTGCTAGCTCCCCATTCTGTATGGGCTACTGTTCGCAGTAGTTGGAGAGCTTTAAAACATTTTGTTCTTAGGTAATTGATATGTGGTCTGAAGGTCAGTTTGCTGTCAAAGATCATTCCTAGAAATTTATATTGCTGAACTACTGGTATTTCTTCATTTCCTAGTTTTAGAGTTGGGTTATTGTGTAATTTTTTCATTTGGCAGAAGTGTACAGATTTTGTCTTCGTTTTTGATATTTTAAAACCGTTTTCGAGTGTCCATTTGTTTATTTGATGTAAACATTGTTGAAGTTGTCTTTCTGCTGTGTTGAGGTTTCTTGATCTGTAATATATTGTAAAATCATCAACATAAAGGCTACAGTGTATTCCTGATTTGATGTTTTTTATTATGTCATTTATTTTTATTTTGAAAAGTGTAGGGGAGAGTACACTTCCTGTGGTACTCCCTCTTCTTGCTTTTTGATAATCAGAACGTGTAGTATCTATTTGTACTTGGAAGAGTCTATCTGTTAAAAATCCTTTTACGAAGTTTGGTAGTCGACCTCTTAATCCTAGTTTATGCAGATCTTTCATTATACCATGTTTCCAGGTTTGATCAAATGCTTTTTCTATATCAAAAAAAATATGGCTATTAGATGTTGTTTGTTTAAATTGGCCTCTCTTATGGCTGTTTCTAGTCTTATTATGTGATCTATTGTACTTCTTCCTTTATTATATCCACATTGATATTCTGATATGTGTTTTCCTTCTTCTAGAAACCAACTCAATCTGGCGTTGACCATTCGCTCCATTGTCTTACATAGACAGCTTGTTAATGCTATTGGTCGGTAACTTTGTGGGTTGTTTCCCTCTTTTCCTTCTTTGAGTATGGGAATAATTACAGATTCTCTCCATATTTTGGGAAATTTCCCAGTAGTCCAAATATTGTTAAAAATATTCAAAAGGTATTTCAGCGATTCTTGTGGTAGTTGTTTAATAAATTCATAGTGGATTTGGTCTGGGCCTACTGCTGTATTATGGGATTTTTTTATGGCTTCTATTAGTTCCGCTTCAGTGAATAGGTTGTTGTAGGCTTCTGTATTTTTAGATGAAAAATTTAGTTGGTTATTTATATCTTTTTGTTTACACTTTTGTAGGTTTTGATTTTTGCTCATTTTAGAGTTTTCTGCAAATGTCTCTGCTAGTAGGTTTGCTATCTCTCTTTTGCTAGTTGCTTTAGTGTTGTCCTTTTAAGATGTATTATTGGGTGTATTTGATTTTTTCCAGCTATTTTCCTCATCATTTCCCATATTGTCTTGGTTTTAGAATGTGTATTTAGGCTGTTTACATATTTTTTCCAACATTCCCTTTTGGCTTCTTTTTTTACAGTTTTCCGTGCTACTGCTTTGAGTTTCTTCATTTCAATCAAATTTTGGGTTGTGGGTTCCTTCTTGAATTTTCGTAATGCTGCTTCCCGGTTTCTGACTGCTTTTTGGCAGTTTTTGTCAAACCAGGGTTTAGTTTTTTTTTATAATTATTTTGCATATTTTTTTTGGTATATTTTCTGAGGCAATGGTTATTAATGTTTTGGTAAAGTATTCTACCGAGTTGTCTGTGTCCTTTGACTGTATCAGTACTTGTTTACATTTGTTTTTGAAACCCTCCCAGTTGGCTCTTTTCAGTTTCCATCTGACGGGGCCTATCTTTTCTTCCTTGGCAGGCTTTTGATTTTCTAGTATGATCGGGTAATGATCACTGCCACATGTGTCACTATGTGTTTTCCATGTATAATCCATACAAATTTCTGGATCGCTTATACTTAAGTCTATTGATGATTCTGTTCCATTGGAGGGATTAAGGTAGGTTGAGGATTTATGATTTAATAGACATAAGTTATGGGTGTTAATTATTTCTTCTAATATTTTACCTTTAGTATCTAGCTTTTTGCTATTCCATATAGGATTATGACTGTTAAAGTCTCCTAGTAAGATTCTGGGTTTGGGAAGTTGCTCCATCAAGTTGTTTATTTCTGTTGTGTTTATTGGTTCCTGTGGGGGTATATAAATGGAAAGAATTGTGATGGTTTTATCTAGTGTCACTTGTGTTGCTATTGCTTGTAATTTAGTTTTAATGTGTACTTTACTTTGCGGTATGTCATTTCTGATCAATATTGACACTCCTCCATTAGCTCTATGTCCTGTATTGTGATTATAGTGGTATTGTTTATAATTTTTAATTTTTAAGTTGGTATTTTCTTGTAAAAAAGTTTCCTGTAAGCAGATGACGGCTGGATACAGTAGTGACATAAGTATGAGTAGGTCATTGTAATTTGATTTTATTCCACGACAGTTCCATTGCAGGATCTTATGTGCCATGATTATATTTTCATTTTTTGGGAGTAAAGTTACCTACTAGGTTGGTATCATTTGTCCCTCCAATTTTTTTTTCCATCTCTTGAGTTTTTAGAAGCTTTGTCTTCAACTGCTTGTGGTGTCCTTCGATCAGATTTTTGATTTTGTTTTGAATTTTGTTTATTATCTTTTCTTCTATTTCTATATATTCCATAGGTTCAAATTTATTTTCATTTGATATACTGATTCTCGATTTTGAGTTAGATCTTGATCGAGTGCTTTCTTGCTCTGTTGTCACTTTTTTTTTTTTTTTGTTTATTTTTCATTTTCTTAGTTTGGGTTTGGAAAGAAGAGGGTTCGCTGGAGTTTTGTTCTGTGTTTTCTTTCCAAAGTTTTTTGCCTCCTTCTGGGTTTATTCCATTTGATCTGGGTTGTTGAGTTTTATTTTGATCCGATTTAAGTTCGGTTAAAAAGGTTTTTAATTCTTCAAGGAAAGCTTTTAATTCCTTACATAGATTTGTTATTTCAATTGAACCTTTTATTTTATCTTCATTGTTTATTTTATTTGCTTTTTTGTGCCATGGAAGCATATGTGTTTTCTTTTATATTATTTATAACTTCCTTTCGTGCTTCTATGTAAGATATATTTTTTTTGTATTTTATTCTAATTATTTCTTTCTCCTGTTTATATATATTGCATTGTTTTGAGAGGGCAGAGTGGTTTCCCAAACAGTTTGAGCATAGGCTCTCATTTGGGCAGTTCTCTTCTTTGTGTTCTGGTTCCTTCTCACTACATTTCCCATATTTTTTTATTTCTACAGGAATCTCTGTGATGCCCAAATTTGTGGCATTTATAGCATTGTAGAGGGTTTGGTACATATTGTTCTACTTTTTATACTTTCATATCCAATTTTTATTGAAGTTGGAATTTGGGGGAGTTGAACGTTATAATGTAGGTATTAGTTTGTATCTCAGCTCCATTTTTTTTAATTGTTATTCTTTTAACATTTGTAACTCCTTGAGTTTGGAGTTCTATTTTTATTTCCTCTAGAGTGCACAAGGAGAGCTCCTTTTTTTTTTACTACTCCCTTTGAGTAATTTAGGGTTTGGTGTGGGTAGGTTTTTATTTCTATCTCTTGTAGTTTTTTTTTTTGTCTGATTCAATGTGTCCGCATATATTTTTTTTTTCTACTTCTATTAGTATTGTTCCATTTTGTAATTTTTAACCTTTTTTGGTATTATGATATTTGTTATTGCTTTTTGTATTTTAAACGGAGAAATTTCTGATAATGATTTTTGGCTTATTGCTTCGAGTACAATAAACCGTGGAAGTTTTCACTTTCATTCTCTGTTTCTGAGTCGTTATCCACATGTGGTCTCTTGGAAGATTTTTTTTTTCCATTGATTGTTTTTATTTTTGTTCATCATTCTCGCTCCCTACCCACCACGGAGTCCAGATTGGGACAGGTCAGGGGGAAACCCATTCGCCTTGCCATGTCGGGGCTACGTGAATGATATACTCTTTTTGGGAGGAGTCTTTGAGCACGCATGTTCCTTTGTTTCCGTTTTCCAAGTATTACGGCTGTGAAGGTTTAGCAAGTGTGTCAGATCTTTTTTCCCCCAAATTGATTGACCCTCAGCCACCGCCTTCCATCACATATTTAGGGTTAAGTGTTAGTTTTGGTTGGGAAGAGGAGTGTCAGTTATAGGTTTGGGTTGGATTATATATGATGGGGCTTGACATGACCAGCCGATTGATCGGATCGGGCCCCTCCGACCGCCCGTCTAGCCCAGGTAAGGGCCAAAGTGGTGTGTTACAAGATTGTGACCGCTTTACACCTGGGTTACAACCTGCTCAACCACCAGGATCCCGTCCCCAGACATTACGGGTCGCCACCCACGGCCAACAGGTGGCCCCATTGAGGGACAGTTTTTACCCTCTGCAGGGGGGGCAGTCGGCGTATTCTGATGCCCCACCGACCAAAATGACTAATAAAAAATTATAAAAAATACTCACTGGATTGTAAATCACTGGGTATCCACTGGGTGTTGGTGTTGGAGGAGGAACATACTATCAAAAAAAAAAAAAAAATATATATATATATATATATATATATATATATATATATATATATATAATATTCTGATACTGAAATGGGTTCTTAAAAAAATAAAAAAATAAAAAGATACATAAAATTTGGTGGGTTATATGAGAGGTTGGATTGCAATTAGCCTCATTATCACAGGAGAGCCTCTTACACTACTCTGTCAGTCAACAGGGAATGATACTTTTCTATAAAGTAATGTTATACGAATGTTTCATCGAAGATAATTTTATTTTTAGTAAAAAATATAAAAAAAAAAAAAAAAAAAAACATCCTGATTAAAAATTGTCAATGATTAAAAAAAAAGAAATAAACAATCAAATATTAAAAAAACAAAAAAAACAAAGATACTGATTAAAAATTGTCAATAATTTAAAAAAAAAAACAAAAAAAACAATCAAATATTGAAAAAAAAAAAGATCCTGATTAAAAATTGTCAATGATTAAAAAAAAGAAAAAAAAACAATCAAATATTGAAAAAAAAAAAAGATCCTGATTAAAAATTGAAAAAAAATCCCAAAAAACTTAAATATTTTTGTGATGGAGCATCTGACTTAAAATTTGTATCCGATGGAGTTAAGGCTAGAGAAACCCAATAAAACTCATGACATTAGACCTACTGGCAACGTCGAATAAGACACGTGTTCTAAACCAGGGGAGAATTCCTCCCAGGGGTGAATATCCAGAATTCAGGAGGGGAAGGGAAAAATCAATTTAAACACCCTGGCCTTTTACTGAACTTTTTGTTTATTGAATTATAATATCCTGGTCAGTACCTACACAAGTGACGACTTGGGAATTTCTGGTGCTGTAAGTTTGGATGTGTCGTGGTATAAAGATAAAGGCTCTGAATTGTTAATCGGAGAGCAAAGTTCTATTTGTGCAAAGTTCATTATATTCCCTTTTGCACAAATATCCTTGAAAAAAATATGAATCCACCTCTTCTCCCCTCCAGCTATGGGTTAATTAGTTGTATCACTAAACCATTATCATCTCAAAAAAAAAAAAAAATCTAAAAATACTTTCTGACTTTAAATAACCTGCAAGGGGCTGATAAGTCATAGAAAAGGGTTCAATTAAAAAAAAAATCAAACAATACCCTGGCATTCTATTGAACATTTTTTGTTTATGTTGTAAACTAGGGAAGGTTACTGAATAGAATAATTGCACAAAGGAGAATACTTAAGACAAGAACAACACATATAAGATTCGTCAGCGGCGCGTAGAAGAAGTATTCAACTGCTAGAAGTGAGTCAAGTGAATTCCACAATGAATCTCCAACTGCAGACCAACATACAGTATTTACTAACTGTATTTATATGAATGGAGACATACCAATTATCGTCTGTAGGCATTCTACAACAATTTATTGAAGTATGCTTTAGTTTATTTATTTATTTAATAATTAGTTATGAATGAAAACAAATTACTATACATGTATTCAAGATGAAAAATCCACCAACATTTTCTGTCACTATTAAATTTGTTAATCGGAGAGTAAAGTTTCAATTCCAGTTGGGTTAATTATATTCGCTAACACGCAAATACCCTTGGGAAATGTATGAATTTCCTTCTTCTTCCCCTATCTATGGGTTAATCAGTAAGACTTGGATCACTAAACAATTATCTCCAAAAATAAAATTCTTAGAATCTAAAAATATTTTCTGGCTCCAAAGGGTTGATAAGCCGTAGAATACAAGCCAATCAATCAATCAAATACTGATTAGCTACACAGTCATGTCATTTAGATTTATTTACATTCCTTGGAATATAAATGCATAGAAATTACCGTGGCCACAATGTGAGAGATCAGTTTATATATTGATTATAATAGAGAATTGATCCCCCAATTTGTATCCATATTATAATTTCTTGGTCGTTTATCAAATTCTGATTAGGGATGAATCCACCTTTTCTCCCCCAGCTATGGGTTAATTAGTAAAACTTGTATTACTAAATCATTATTATCTCTAAAAACTAAAATTCTTACATTCTAAAACTATTTTCTGGCTTTAAATAACCTGCAATGGGTTGATAAGCCGCAGAAAATGAATCAATTAAAAATTAAACAATTCCCTGGCATTCTATTGAAAATTTTTTGTTTATTGAAGTATGCCTTAGTTTATTTTTTTAATAATTAGTTATGAATTAAAACAAATTACTGTACATGTATTCAAGTTGAAAAATCTATCAACATTTTCTATTACTACTAAATGTAGAAAATATATGCATATTATTTAGAATTCAACCTTGGAAACAGGGGAATTTTTCGGACAAACATGGATTTCATCGAAAAAAATATCTATCCAATCCAATGAAGTATGTTAACAGCCATCATTAAATTTGTATATCATCCCTGTGGATCTAGATAAAGTTATTCGACAGGTTTTTGCGAAAACTCCAGGGGCCACGAATATTTGGATTAATCCAATCGTTCCTATCAAATTGTGAAATGAAGGACGTGTTGAACGAGCTCGCTTCCAGATCCTTTCATACGATATATCGGGGGTCCCCCAAACTTCTAATTGATCTCAAATGTACTGCCCAGAACAGAAGGACGCAGGTCTTAAACCTGTCAGAAAATATTTTTTATTTATTAATACTCACAAATGCAAGAATGGTGGACGTAAATTTGAAAAGAACAGGATATTTAATCAAATATGTATCCTCCTAAATATTAACGCAATAAAAATAATGTCAGATTTTAATTAAAATCCATTAAAATTAAAGAAAATATGTTGTCATTTACTAAAAATAAGGTAAAGGTAAATGAAAAAAGGCTATACAATGTCGAATTGTATACCATAGGCATACCTCAGTGTTTTTCACACTTCTCAATATATAACTTTTTTTATTTTCTTTTGGTTCATATTATTATATTCATTTTACAATATTGTTTAGTCTCGTCTTTTTTTCAATATACAGACGTATTTTTAGACTTTGATGTGATTGGTTCTGATAGATTTCGATACATAAAATATGAAATAATCCATCCTTCTCAGTTCATAGATGTTCTTTCTTCTGCTTGTATCTATAGATCATATATATCTGGTTAAAATGGACAAGGTAATAAAAAGCAAAAAAAGAGATGAATGACATGGCTGTAATCTCAGTAACACTTGTAAAAATGGTCAACCTCAGCAGACATTCCTGCTTAATTAAACTTGTTATCCTTTAATTCAATTCACCAAGTCCCATTTTTTTCGTTTAGGCAGCACTATTTTGTTAATTTTATAAACCAAATCCAATTATGTCTTCGCTAAAACAAAAACGACTACTATTAAGCAAATAACCGTCACAACATATGAATTTATTAGGGTCATGCAATCTAGCCATCAAAATGATTTATCCAGGGTAAGATAACCTGACAAGCCCATCCCTCTTCAGGTTGGTTTTGAAATCATAGTCATTACTACCTCGAGGCGTTAGATCTTTCCTGTTATTTAGTAAATAGGAAGGTGTGGATTTATACCTTTCCCAAAATATATTGTGAAAATGAACATAGCAAGCTTAGCAAAAATTTGAACTCGACTCGAAATTAAATTTTCGAATAACTTACTGATACACCTCAGTAAACAATATTCCTTGAAAAAGTGACAATATAACCTTCTCTAGCCATGAATATTCTAAATGGAATCGGTTATGTAAAAGAGAACTCTCCAAATTACTGAACACATTTTAATTAAATGGCTAGACTATTTGTATATTTGTACCGTTTCATTGAAGGTCCTGCTTCTACTTGATACGGCAATTCTGGGATCTCTTGAGCTGGCACCGTCTGACAAATTTGTCGCATGAGAACAAAAATGACCAAAACTTTGGTGTTCGGATAATTAAGCAATTTTATTTGGATGTGCAAATTCAAAGTAGGTGTTTCAATGGTAATTTAGATATACAACGATCCCCAATCGAATGTATAGCAAGTTTAGGATAACAACAATTTTTGTGATTCGGTTAGAGCGCCGGAACAATTCTTTCCACGCCCAATAACAAAACACGGGTGGTACCAGTGTCGCGACGAGGACGCATGGAAGTGAGTTTTACCGGCAGAAGGTTTAACGTGGTCATAAGATAATCACGTGATCATGGAAACGGTCTATTTTAATTTAAGAGGCCAACAGAAGAACGTCAAACACTGTCATATGAGTATTACCGACCGTTCGACCTCAATCGTTGAACATTTTATAAAAAAATCGGGGCGTTAAATCGTCCTTCCGAGAAGACATTCTCGAATCTCTACAAGTCACATTTGGCTATCATTAAATGTTCTTGAAACTATTTTCATTAAATGAAGACAACATTCCTTATATAAACAATAAAAAACCAGCTGCAGGAACTGAATGTTAAAAAAATATTTAAAAAAATGTCCGTCTGTATTATTGATAGATGAACAAACAATTTTTCATTTGGACATAAATTTGTAAAATTTTTACTTTTATCGATCGAGTTCAGATGAGTGAAGAACGATAATTCTAGGGTCATTCTCTTGTTCTCTGTTTATCATTTTTTTATTGAAAAACTGCCCGTATTTGATTTACCATTTGTCCCTTCAATGAAATCCGTTTTTTTTGTTAACGGGGGAAAAAATAATTAAAAATTGTACCTCTAGATAACCGGTCTCAAAATAAAGGATATTTTTCATCTTCATGTGAAAGGAATCCAATTATTGTCAAAGGAAAATGAAAAGACCACCTTCTTCACAGTGATTCAGCCTATGCATTGTTTTCCTTAACCAAATAGTTGGTAATCAAAAATTAGGGTGAAAAACTCGGTCAACAAAAAATAAATATTCAAAACGAGATAATATGTATTAATGGAATGCATGGAAAGTAGTTTTTACAAAAATAAGGGAAAACAACCAAAACATTTTCATGTATTTCATGCATGTTGGTTTATGAAAGAAGTATTTCTTTCAGGAAAGGAGATATTTGAAAAAATGCAGGCTGCAGGATAACACAAATAGGAT